CCCTTTCCTCGCTTCAACTTTTCTTCTATCTCCTCCCCATCAGTTAGATTCCTTTCATCTTCTCACCCCCCTCATGTACATGCCTTCTTCCTGTCCTTGTCCCCCTTCCCTAGCTCCTCCTCCTCTTTTATTGTAGCTTCGAGGCAAACACTCCCCAGTGCCTCTGTGAGGAAAAATATATATTAAGACATGCAAGTTCCCAGTCTTTTCGAACATCCGCTTCCTCACACATCAGTACTGTGAAACTCAGATTAGATACAGTCCCAGACATCTTTGAGGGACGTAAAGTGAAGTGTGAAATCAGGCATTTCTAATTTTATAAGCTAAATGTAAAGAAGCACAGCAGTATGTCTTAAGAACAAAAAGAGAACTTCATCCTTAAATGGAACGTTTGAAAATTATCTTCATGACAGCATTATCTCTTTTAAACCTCTATGTATTCTATTGAATAGTTAGAAGTGTTCTACCTCTAAACTGCATTTTACAGACATAGCCTTCAAGTGTTGGCCAGTGAGTTGTTAAAACAGGAGGTGAAGTCTGTCACAGGGATTCAAACTGTCAACCTTGTGTCCATAGCATTTCACTGACACCCAGGAAAAATATAAGAGTCACTAATATAAGAATAACTAATATTTGTCACTTCAGTTTGATGTTTAAGCTTCACTGTGCAGAATGATGAATGTGCAGACACTAGAAGTGTCTCTGAACTGTACAAACAAGCAGGATTTGTGAAATCACAACTATTTTGGAACAAATCTTGGTCCAATATGCAACTTATACAATTTTGAGAATGGACTTTACAAGAAAGCAGGAGACTTCTTGGGTCCAGCAGTTATTTTGAAATGAACACTTTTTGAATATTCTGGATTTTTCAGTGATGAAAAAGGTGTAGATGTCATTTTAAAACCTACCTGAAGGGGTTCTTTAAACATTTTTGATGTCTGAATTTGATAAATGAAACGATCTGTGAGTAAAAGCAGTAATTATTTCTGTGTTTACGCCTCTGCAGAGAATACCGGATCATTAGTTCCTGCATTGGTTAAAGTAATATTATATAAAGTAAATAATAATTTACTTTAGTAGAATGGATAAATTTTTAGCCATGCCACGGAAATGTGGGGTGTAGGTCGGTCCAAGTCTTTTGTCCAGACTGAAAAAACTCAAAATTTCTTGGCCATTTAACTGTATTTTTTGTTTACTGCTAATCAGAAAATGTTAGCATGCTAAAATGCTAAGCTAAGATGAAGAACATGGTATAAACATTACGTCAAAACTTCAATTAAAAGCCAAGTCGCAATTAGACTCCTGTCCCTTTTACAAGCCTGGTGTGACCACAACTTTTGACAAATAAACACAGGTGTATATATATATATATATATATGTTTAAACCTTTGTCTATATAGACATGCTGCACATCACACACCGGTTATATTCTCCACAATATAATCATTCGGTTAGTTTTACACCTTGCACCTGTGTGTTCTTGAGGTTGGCCCTGATGGACTGTCTATTGGGGCTAGATCAAATGAATGATTGCTAATTGATATGTTTTCCAATTGCTTAATTTTTAGACTTGTATAGACGCCTGTCCCAAATATAGTCAGGGTGAGTTCAGTGACTGAAGCAAATAAAAACCCAGGCCAAATAATTGAAGATTTACGCTATATCCGCTTAACATTAGCCTGTTGGCATTGTCAATGTGAACATTTTAGCATGCTGACATTAGTATTTAGCTCAAAGCGCAGCCTCATAGTAACGCTAGCACAGCTGTACACAGTTGTGTTACACACATTTCTTGGAAATAACTTTGAAATCCCTGGCATTTATTGTGTGCTATACATATGTGATTGGATGCTGTCAGTTATTCATAGTTTTTCCTTTCATTTGGATTTTTGTGATAAGGAAAATAATAATAAAATGACTAAAATATTATAGTACTATCAAGTAATGAATGAATGTCAACTTCTAACAATATCTTAGTACGGTGAATAACAATAAAAAGGAAAATGCTTAACTTCTGTGTTGCACTTGCAATATGTTCAAGCCAAATGTGTCATTTAAAAATGTCTTGTAAAAGTATTATAACAATCAGATTGTCCTCAATGACATCTAAAACTACCGACAATGTGTCATGACAGCCAGGTTCTGTATTAAAGGCATCATTCTTAGTTTGCCTGTGTGTGGTCATGTATACAAATCATCTACAGTGGTGAATTGTTTTGAGTTGACTAATAAACAAAACACACCCAGAGGATGAGACCACAGCCCCCTCATCAACCCTGTTCCCTCTCTGTGTGCTCTGTGTGGTTTTGATTCTCACTTTGTTCCAGTCCACTGAGCTCACAGTATGATTTAAACTATGGCCTCAAAGAATAACAAATCACAGGGAACATTTGCTTAGTGGCCTCTGATCCAAACCAGTCAATAAAGCACAGCACGCAAAGCTAGGAATCATGGCTCTAATGTGGCGTAACAAAGAGAAGCACTTGTGGGGCCCGCAGTGTAGATTAATAATGCTGAACAATTAAGATTGGACCCAATTGCAGACAAAAGACAGTCTACTTATAGAAACTGCTATCCCCATCAGCGCTGACATGCCACCCTCGCTCAAACAATTTCAGTTTGAAGTCTCAACTCCGCAGTTTAAGTGTGAGCCAAGGCCTAGAGTGAGACACAAACCAAGCCAATAAACAGTGGTAGAATTACATTTACTCAAAATACTGTACTTAAGTACAGTAATTAAGTAATGAACACATTAATGCATCACTGATTATAATCCAGTAATATAATATAATATTATTCTGAAGTGGACCATTCTGCACAATGGGTACTTTTATTAGTGGTACTTTAAGTATATTTTGATGCTAGTACTTTCACTAAAGTAACATTTTCAATGCCTTTCTTTAACTTGTAACAAAGAATTTTTACACTGTGGCATTGCTACTTTTAGTAAATTATCTGAATACTTCTTTCACCACTGTTAATAAACACTAGAATCAATCTCGTAACCTGTATGAGACGGCACCAAACATTTAAAGGGGAAGAAAATCTTGGAGGCCTACTTCATTTGAATCTGAAAATTCTAAATGACAAAAATTTGTTATTTTCTTCTTCTCATTCTGGTACTTTTAAAGACACTTTCCCTTGTTAAAGTTGCTTTTAACTTCGTCAAACGTCATAACGCTCTAATTTTTGCAAAACAAAACCTACAACAACAGGTTAGGACCTTCGTGTGTTGGAGAGTGCCCTTTCTCAGCTATGGGATATGACCCCGTAACAGTACAGCAACACGTCATGGTTCCGCAAGCACTAATGGGCTCATTGCCTTCTCCCACATACAAAAGGAGTGAAAAATGAAAGACCAATTGACTCCTATTTGCCTCTTCAGTTACACGTGGGGCTCTGTATTGTGGTGGCCTTATTCTATAGACACTGGCAGGCAGCACCCATTAACAAGCTGCACACAGTCCTTTGAATGCTACTGTGCAACTGTGCCCCATAGTGATGCCACCTATTCCCATTGTACTGTAATTAAGTACAAATTCTAGGTACTTGCACTTTATGTGAGTATTTCCATTTTATGCTACTTTATACTTCTACTCCACCACATCTCTGAGACAAATACTTTTTACTCCACTACATTTGTCTGACAGCTTTAGTTACTATTTTTAGATTATACTTTTCATAACCCTTCTGTCAAGTAAAAACCATGTATCTCATAAGATTATGAATGTGAATTTTTTGGATAAACTTAAGTATTAAATTCCTTTATGGGTTGAGATTATTCTGCTTCTTAAGCTAAATAAACTATTTAAACCCTGCTGGATCAGGTGGAAACTGCATTGTCACAAAGCTGAAAACAGGCCTGTCTGAGCTCATGAAAAGTAGATTTGTTTTAGAGATACAGTATGTGGTCCTCACAGGACAATGATGCTAAAAACATATGATGATTGTAGAGAATATGATGCATTGTTGTAGATTAAACTACCCAACAGTATATAAAGCAGTTAAAATTAGCTTAAAGATCTACAGCAGTAAAATGCAACATACACCTAAATGCAGTAGTAATATTCATCCAGAAATATCATATTCAATCGTAAAACAGTGACATGGAGCATTTTACTAGTGCTTTTACTTTTGATACTTAAGAAAGGTAATTACAGTAATTACACTGTCGACACGTGCTTATGGCTGGTTGCCATCATGGGAATGTCGGCACATATGCAGGATTTAAAAACTCTGATATCATGCACATACAGAGAGATTTATCCGGCGGTGAAAGGCTTAATCAGCATTGTGGCTAAATTAAATATTTAAATTATTTAAAATATATGCTAATTCATATGCATGTACAGCTTAAACAATGCACACAAGATAGGCCACAAGAAATAGTCTAAACAATCCCAGTTCAACACTTTACTCCACCATTGTACACAATTCAATTCAGTCAATACAGTACCATTCAAACATCCTCCTCTTCCACTGTCTGTCCTGACCTTAGCTTCATGATCACCTGAAAAAGAAAACAGGATTAAAGTTAGCGTGTCTGTTTAAACTAATTCTTTTTGTTTTATTCTACATATCACGTTTTGGCATCACTACTAGCCGTAGAAAATTACAGTGACACACACCTCTTTGAGCTGGGCAATCTCTTTGCTGTCCACATTTCTCTGAGCATGGTTGGTTATGGCCTTCACTCTTGTTGCATAACTGGAAGGTTTAGGGAGTTCAATCAATCAATCAATCAATCAATCAATCAATCAATCAATCAAGTTTTATTTAAAGTGCAAAATCACCAAAAAAAACCTTTACACTTTACAAAATGCATTGAAGTTAAATAAAATAAGCCACAAAATACAGAATGCATGTGATAAAATCAGCAAAATAAAATAATATAAACAATTTAATAATTTAAAGTTTAAGTTTAGGGAGTTCTGTGTTATTTGGGAGTTTACTAGCATTCAACTAAAAATGAAATGATGAATCTCTCTCTTTGTTTCTTACATGAGAGATGTGAGCGTCTCATCAAGGTTGTATTCGGAAGGAGAGATGTTGACGATCATGAGGGTTTTGGCATTTCCACCCAGGGAGTCTTGCATCACCTGAAATGCACCGGTCACATTTGGCTGACCTACATTGCAGTTCATGACCACACATAAAAAATCACAAGCAGCTTTTTGTTTATTGCTCTCTCTCTCTCTCTCTCTCAAAATTCAAAGTACAATGCTTTTTATCATCACCTGTGTCAGCTTGCTATTCCTGTATGGTACGTGGGGCAGTTCCGCAGACAGGGCTGAGATCACATCACCCAGGGCACTCAGAGACTTGTTAATGGAGTTAGCCTCCTGCATACGGAAGTAGAGGATGAACGGGGGGGCTTTAAAGAGAGCATGAGAAATATCTAATTCTTTCAATCATCCTTTCAATCACTTGATGGACTAATGACAATATAACATTTGAGCAAACCTTTAGCTGGTCGTCCTTGGCACCAGCCTTTGCTGCTCTCTCACTGCCTGCCAGGTCCACAAGGCTCAGCTTCCCAGAGCTCACACTTCCGTTGGTCAGATTCCTGCTTTCCACCATGATGCCAACGATGAGATGTGAGCGGGAACTCTCCACATTCATCTCTGGGGACACATGATCCACAAAAAAGGCCTGGAACGGATTGTCATACGCCGTGGCTTCTTGATGTTCAGCTAGTCACTTGTAGTCAAGATTAGAGCTGAAACTAATACATATTTTCATTACTAATTAATCTTCAGATGATCATTTAGAGTAATTGATCGGTTGTTTGGTGTAAAATGCGGATCACAATTTCCCTGAGTGCAAGATGTGATTTTCAAATATTTGGCATATTTTTCTTGATAAATGACATAAATGATTGTCAAAACTGTTTTTCGAATGTTTGTGATTAAGGTGGGAAAAAAAACACAATAAAAACATAAATATAAAATGTGATGCCACTACTGTTCTTTATTATTTTGTGCCATCCATAGTCCTTGAAATAATCTAAGTGTGTCTGCTTTTTATATATTTGTCAGTATCTACAGTCCAAAGGCTGTATTTGTAGTTGATTAAAATTATTTTGTAGTTCCAGCTAGTAGATCTAGCTCCATACTACTAAATAATAATAATAATCTTTATTTATAGAGCACTTTTAAAACAAACCTTACAAAGTGCTTAACATGAAGCAGTTAAAACATAACAACAATAAAAAACCCCAATAAAAATCATTTCAAAATAATACTTCAAATAAAATCATGTAAAATCAGGGAATGCTCTTCGATAAAAGTATGTTTTAACAAGGGATTTAAAAGAATTTCCTCGTAGATTGCTCCAGAGCCACAGATCCCTAATTGCAAAGGCTCTGTCTCCTCTCAATTTCAGCCGGGTCTCTGGAACAAATATAATCAGGAGTGATATGATCACATTTCTTGGTTCTAGTTAAAAGCCTGGCAGCTGAGTTCTGAACAGACCGAGACGATCAATAGATTTTTGATTCAGGCAGGTAAAGAGACTGTTTCAATAGTCCAAACGTACAGAAATAAAGGCATGTAAAATGGTCTCAGTATCTTTAAAATATTTGGAAAATTCTGTAAGGACTCTGATGACCTGTGTGCGTCTATAAAACAATGTTGCTCCTCTTCTTACAGATTGGCTGTAGTGCCACGCACTGCCCAGTCCAATAATGATGTACTGAGCTGCCACCCCCTCACACTGACTGTAACTAACATGATTAATCCAAACCATTTAGCAGGGCCCTGTTTGAACTGGGCGGCATGGCACGGTATAGAGAACTCACTGGTGGCAGAGATGTGTCGGTTGGTGCAGGCCTGCTGGAACAGAGCGTATAGCTCCTGGGCACTGGAAGCCTCCTTTGTCTCTGCTCCTTGGGCGAACACAACCCCCTTTCTGTTCCTCTTGATCTCCACCCGCCTGGCCTGGCCATGGGACTGGGGCTGTCCATGGGCCTCACCAGCCAGGCTCACAAAGAGGTCCTGCAGCTTGTCATTGTACAGCTCCAGCATATAGGCTGAAACCTGAGGCAAGAGGATGAAAAAGCTCAGGAAGGAGGAGAAGGACAGGGACAGAGATGGAGGAAGTTGAGGGAGACAAGAAAGTTAAATCTAAGATCTTTGCCATCTCCCAAATAATTTAAAAATAATAATTGCATTAGTAATATAGTGTATGTTACCTTGAAGTCGAATTTATTGCTGTTCTCCTGAATCATATCAAATATAGCATTAAAAGATCTCGGCATGATCCCAGGGTTCTTCTGTTCCTTGTCCCCCACCATGGTGAAGGTCTTCCCTGAGCCCGTCTGGCCATATGCAAAGATGCAGACGTTGTATCCATCAATAGCCGACTGGATCAGCCTGTGGGGGATATATATCCAGCTGGACTGTACTTATTATAGAACTATGTGCTTCTACTTCTGAATTGGCACAAATTTGTACTATCAACTACTAAAATCAGAAACTACTTTGTAAATCTGTGGTGGATTAAACACATTACATGTGTCTTATGGTACATTTGTGAATATACTGTATTTGTATATTGATTAAGAAGCATAATCCAACCTGTTGGTGTCATGAAACAGGTCTTCCTGAGAGGCTTCAGCGTTGAACACCTTGTCGAACTGAAACTCCCTCTGCCCACGAGGGGTTTCCACAGTGACAGAGAAATCATCTATTTTCTCCACAACGATGGCTCCACCCTGCATAACCTCGGTTCGGCTCACTGGTCGAATCCGACAAAACACTCTGATTTTACCTGTGAAAATTTCAAGGTGTGAAACCTTAGTAACCTCAAAAAAAAAAGTGTTAAACTGTGAAGGCCTCAATTTGTGGTGTTTCATTTCATACAAAAACATTTAATGCTGGCTAATGTTTACCTTTCATGTCTTCCACCATATTGTAGTACTTCTTCCTCATTGTCCGTTCTAAAGTGTAGTTCTCAATTGTTTTCTTTTTCTCTTCTTTAACCTGCTTTAACTTGAGAAAAGAGCATGATAACACAAATATGACACTGAATAATAGATGTTTTTTTTTAGCTACTTGAACTAGATAGCTTACTACAATCCCTTAATAATCTAAAACATTTTACTCTATGTATCAGGAAACTTAAAAACCTACAAATTATACCAGGTGTCGATTCACACACACTAATAAATATGACAACTGAACGCACCCAAACCATTATATAACAGTTACAGAAATAATATGTGTGATGCTTCATCAGCCCATGTAATTTAAGTCACACCCTCAGTCTACCATTGTAACGATACCGTTTTACCTGAGATTCATCAAATTCAATATATAATATAGAGGGGCAGCTGGGAGGTTACCATCTCTATTTTACCCCTGAGGCCTGACCTGACCTGAGATTTTGACCAACCTGATCCTGCAGCAAGAGAAGCTGCTGACCAACACTCTTCACTCCCTCTGTGGTTTGGATTGTCCCTCGTCCCAAGATGTCTTCCAGTTCTGAGACTGCATCGCAGTCTGAGAAAAACAGGAATTAAAACCACTTATATAAGTGATGCACCACCGTACACTAAACATAGCACAGACACACAGTTGTTGCCAGACTGATGTAAATGAAAGTTTTTAAGATGCAAGTATTACAGTAGCTGTATGAATGCAGGTGATGTGAATATAGGAGATTTAAGAAATTTATTTACCATTTATGACAGGGCTTTCTCCAGTTTTGATGCAGTCCAAAGCCAGTTGAGATACCTCATACCTCCTCACTGTTCCTTGTAGTACAGACAAACGTGACTCATATTCATCTAACCTGAAAAGTAGAATAGCAGTTGAATAAAAGTCTTGAATAAAGGCATTGAGACTGGCTTTGGCTATTCCATTGTTTATATGTCCAGGCTGTTTCCATGATCTCTAACCCCTCTTGGTCAGTGGTCTTGTCCTCTTTGTCATTACTGTCTATGGCCCTCTGTAGGCGGTGCAGTTTGTCTCTGGCTTCGACCAGAGCGACCCGGTTCTCCTCAATCATCTGGTTCAAAGGAGCTCTGGTCTCAGCCACTGCAATGCAAATAGCATGAGCCTAGAAAACAAAACAAAGCAGTCATGTGCTATCTATAGAACAAAGTCATAAAAGCAGGGTGATGTCTAAGAAAACAGAGTGAAGTATCTCCTGCCACCAGCAAAGCAGAGAATGCCATATTTAAAATAAGTAGATACATAGTTTAATAGTTGAACAGCACCTTGTGTATGACAGTGGGAAGCAGAACGCTGCAGGGAGGCAGAGGGACAGGGGGGACAGGGCTCCTCTCTGCCTCCAGCAGCTCAGTAATCTCTCTCTCCCTCTGGTACAGGCACTCTTTCAGCTCCTCCAGGCAGGCCTTAGCCCCCTCCAGTGGCTGATCTGACTCATTGCAGCCCTGCGCATGAAACCACCTTAAAGGTCAGTACACCCAAATCAATTTTGTCATGTACCCATGAAGCATGAAGATAACTTTATTTCTATCTGCTGATGTTTGAGAAAACTCTGAAATTTCTGATACTGCCCAAATATGTAATTCAAACATGTTTAATAGTATGTTTAATATCAGATTGCTGTCTGTCTCTGTCTTGGTAATAGGCAATATTAACCTCAGGTGTTGATTGCTTTGTTGATGTGTTTATAATCTTAGATCATGTACTTAAATGAGCAGCAGGCTGCCGTAGAAACTAATTTCAACCCACCATAGTCTGTTGTTGTGCTGAAAGCCCTTTGTTCTCTGAACTTTCACTTTCCTCAGTGGCATCCTGATGCTCCCGGGATGATACCATTAACATTTCTTGGACTTTCCCTACTTCCTGTCTGGCCATTTGCAGCTCCTGTATTGCTGTTCAGTGTCACAGGGCATTAACAAAGGTGTGACATGCAAGGGTCAGTAATTTTGCAGGCAGACATCAATGAATGAATGCACACTCACTGGAGGCCTGGTGGCTGTGCAGGACATCCAACCTGTTGGAGAACAGTTCCAGCATTTTGCTCTAAAAGAAACAAAAGCTGAACCAATCATTACATAATGACGTAAAAAACATTCCTGTTATGCTGAAATGTGGCCACAAGGGGGTGTTCCAGTTCAGAGGACAGCGTAAGTGTTTATGGGCCTGCCAGATTCCTATCCAACCTTTTCTCTTTGCCACTGCACGCCTCCTCTTTACTCCTCCTCTTCTCAGCTCTCTGCTCCTCCAGCAGCTGCTCGTTCTGTGCAGTTAAGACCTGCAGGAAACAGCACCGTAAATACAAGTGTTTTAGTGTTTCAACTGTGGTCTGTAGTGTGCACCAACAATGACTGATGAGTGAATCCCAATGTTTGAAGAGTTTCACTGTGTTGTTGAACTTTACCACCAGTGAGAACAAACTCATGAGAGCCGCAGGAAATGATGAACATCACTGACCGCGACTGTCCTCTGCCAGTCAGCGTTCTTCTTCTCCACCGTCTCCTGGTAGAGGTCCAGGATTCTCCTCAGAGTGTTCAACTTGTTCTGGTAATGAGATCTGATTCTCTGCACAGTCCACTCCTGACCATACAATGAGATCTGCATCACTGTTATGTGTTAGGTCTCTCTCTCATACACAGACATGCATACATGCCTCCTCACCTGGTTCTCTCGTGCTGTGATCTGAAAGTTCGCCTCCAGCTCCTGCACCATTTCCAGGTGCCGTCTCTTCATTGCTTCCATGTCCTCGGCTATCTGTTGTGGGCCGTGTACAACACACAAACACATAAAACTCACAAACACAAAACAGCATCCTAGGAGCTTATACTGATCAAATGCATTCCAGGGTCACACTAGCAGCATCAGGGCAGCCATGTGAGGATGAGGAAGAACACAACACAGAGTCTGACAGTGTCTTCATTGTGTGTCTGCAGACGCTCTCACTGAACAACTGGACACAGCTTTAAGTCACATGCTTAAAAAACATCACTGTTTTATATGAAATGAGTTTGAAGTCAGACATGTTTCTTTCAATATTCATGTCTGTTATAAATATAAACGCTTTGCTGTGGGAGACAGCAGTACGTGTTTTGTGCTGCTTTCCTATGATGATGCTCATTATTTTACCTGAGTGATGCAGAGTTCAGCTGACTCGTAGGGGATATAGATCTTGACATCTTGTGACCTCTCAGCTTCTGACGCCTGATCTGCATCGCTGCTACCTGACAGCTGAGATTCTGATGAGCCTGCATATATAACATGCTGTAATCCACCGTTCAATTCAGACACACACGCACACACACACACACACTATCACCCCTCCTCCTCCACATGTTTCTTCATCACTGTACAGCACCTTGGTTGACCTCTTGTCCAGGGTTCTTTCTGCGATCCGCACCGATCCAGCGTCTGAAAGCAGCCCACCTCTTCATCCACAGAGTTTTGTGATGAATGACAGCTTGAACAACGGAACAAATGTTGGGGAACATTTGGAAACAGCTCGGGGAGTGGAGTAACAGGTATGGGAAAGAGGAGAAGAGTAAGTGCAGCAACAAGTCTTGTAATACATATTCTTCTATCGCCCAATTATTTAGTTATGTTCATCTTTCATGATTCATCTTCAGTTTAAAAAACTCCTCTGAGAAAAACTGTTTCAGTCATTTACAGTAACAGAACTGCAATTACACAATCATAATACTGTACTGATGGACGGCAAACTCATTTATTGGGTTTTACTGTGCTCAAATCCTGATTTTAACCGCTCACTCTCAAAACTGGATATACCAAATGAAACAATCATACAATAAAGTCAAAATATTGTCATTCAACCCTTTGCCAGTTTTTCCAATCAAAATAATTATCTGTGTGGTGTACTTGTTTATGTACAATTATCATTTCATTACTGTGGATGCAGTCTTAAAATAAAATGAAACACATAAATCTCAGTGGAACCATTTACATTTTATTGATTAGATTTAGAACACGTTTTACATATTTAGGATGAGTGCTTAGCATGCAGTTTATTGTCTCTTTACATTTATGGATATTACACTCAAAATGTTGATTATTTCAATAATTGTATTAATGTGCTAATTAATTAGGCAGTTAGTTCCTATTTATTTTCATTTTCAAGTTAATCCATCAGTGTGGAATATTTCATCACTCTCTATCTCGTTCATTCCCTTCCCACCCTCTCCCCTCTTTGTTTCCTCATACAGGAATGTGGGTGTGTCGTCATGCGGTTACTTTCCTCCCAGACACACCTTTTTGTAGAGAAACAGAAATTATGTCAGAAAAAACAGAGAAAAACCCTCGGTTTATCTACTGAGTGAGAACACAAAGTCAGATGACTCAAAACAAAGCAGACTTTAAACTATTATCAGTGTAAGAGTGTTTGGTTTCCATTTGGTTAGGGCATCACATGCAAGTTTTGATGGATCGAATTCTAAGAATTGTTTTATTACATATCTTGTGCAAGAAATGTGTAAAGTAAAACACTTCCGTGATTGCATGTGCATGTGTGGGGGGTCTACTGGTCTTACCTGCTGTGCTTTCATTGTACTGGTCAAACTGTGTGTTGTGAATTATTGGCCTCTCTTCCGTCAGCTCTGGTACGCTGCCTGGTAAATCCTCCAGCACCTGCGCTGCCACTGGGACCTGTCCAGGTCTGAAGGACCCCGTGGGGTCCTCAGGGCAGGTAGACCTGTTAGTTGTCTCCCATGCGCCTAAGAAAGATTTTACATGGTGCATCATGGGACAAGCAAATTCAGATCCACCGTACAGACATACAAGGAAATGAAGGACAGGGTTTACTCTCGGATTCCAAACATAAAGATGCATGGAGTACAGTTAAGACGAAATGCTAAAACAGAAGCTGCAGCAGGATAGCAGATAGCTTTCAGGTAATGAAAACATCTGGACACAAGATGGTGGAGCTTTACATCTCTTATGCAGGCCATGTGGATACACATGCACATATGTTA